GTCGTTTACTTTCAGCTGAATGACCGGAGAAATTCAGGAACTGAAAATTTACGAGGATGTCCATCGGCCGTGTGCGATCCCCCTGAGCATAAAATCAACTTCCACATAGCCTAGGTTTCACGTATGGTACCTCAAAGAAAATGTAGAAAAGCGTTGTGGAAAAATGATTTCGAGACAGCCATAGGAAGCTGAAATTTTGCGAGAATATTCTCTGCTTATATGCAGATTAAAGATTTTAAATTCACTTTGAGGTACATCTAAGTCTCGCGTACAACTTGGTAAAATTCCAGTTATCTATGATCAGGCTGAATAGGAAGCTGCACTTTTGAAATTTTACTCTATGTGCGGACCAGTAGGTGTAAAATGAGCTTTGTTTATTCGTGTACCCGGGGCACTTACATGACAGACGCTTAAATTGCAACACGGTCGTCATCTTCCACTAGCTGGTTAGACAGGCAAGAAAGCTGAAATTTTACGAGGATGCTGGCATCTTCTATGAGGCACTGAAGTGTATTGTCAAATTTTACGAATTGCTTTGTGCTGAATACGGGCGCTGCAATTTTCAAGTTGCAAGATTATCGGGATCCTTCCCCTCTTGGCAATCGTGCATGCTGGAAAGCTGAAATTTCACAGGGACCTACAATGCGACATTCCCTTCTTTGCCGACAACTTTCTCCTTCCTACATACAAGAAAGAATAAGAACATTTCCAACATGAGTTCACATTTCAGACCGTAAAGCAAGTTTATACTGTTAACGATTTGGTTACGTCAAGAAGCCGTACAAAAACGCATGATTGCACCTGCAGCCATGATGCGTGCTGCTAATGATTTATTATTGAAGCTAATATCAGAATTAGCTGTTTTATAAAATAACTGTAAAATCGAAGTTTATTGCGTCCGAGAAAGAAGAAAATGTCAGATTCACGACCAAATGAACAGAGTCGGAAAAGGCAAGAAAACGCAGTAAATTATGTTTGTGCTGTCAAAGTAGATTTAAAAATATCAGGGGACATCTTCAAACAGTTAGGTTTTTTTGCAGTTCATGAAAGACTGGCAGGAGTTCGAGTTGGATGCGCTCATTTGTCCAGCATTTACAGGTATTTTTTCTTAGCATGGTGATTGCAATAGCGTCTTTAGGGAATGGGAGGAGAACTGGAAGTTTATGTACATGCGAAGTTTGCCTTGGAATTGTTGGGTTGGTTCGTTTAACTGAAAAAAAAAAGCCGAAGTTTTTTTATAATTTCGGCGCGTTGCTGTTATTCATTTCAATGTGTTTTCTAACGCTTTACATCTCGCTATGGTCGGCATATTCTGGTGCTTCGGTTGGCGTTGCTGATGGCATGTCGAATGGTGCTGATGGGAACATTGCGATTTACAAAAGCTGCTCAGCGTGGACCGCCTGCTGAGCTGGTCATAACTCTCATATGGGCTTGTTAGGAATAGGTGATTTCGTTCTCTTTTTCAGTTCCTGCAGTGCCGCATGATTATCCCAGTCGCCTTCCAGCATGCGCTTTTGCAACGGGTTTATTCAACATGCTGGATTTTCCGGCTGGAGTGGTGCCTACAGGAACTGTCAGTTCTAGTGACGATGAACTTCTTGCTGATGAGGCTTCTTGGCGCACAGGTACGGTGACTGTGTACTGTCTAAGGAAGGGGTGGGAGATTTTCGAGAGAACAGGTCCCATTTTACTTCCGCTTTCGGTACGCTGCTATACTGTATAGTTTTCTGGAACTGGTGTTCAGTGACTGAGCTATTCTCACACTTCTTTTCACATCTTCATTGTTTTATCGGATCGACCTAGAGGTTTTGGCTGGGATCTGAATCGTTTTCAGCTTGTTTTTTACTTGTTAGAGAAAGTAAAGTTCATAGAAGTTGATATTCATTGTCAGTATGAGCGCTTTCATTGAAGTCATGGATGGATGCTTAGACAAAGAGTGCAAAATGAATTCCTTAATTTATGTATTCTTAGAAATAAAATCAAGTGAGCGCAGAATTTAAAGGCTTTGATAGATGTTGCAGGAAACAAACAGCTTTCTTAAACCAAAGAAAAGGTTTTTACAGGAAAGGATATAGCTCTGAAACTACTGAAATGTGCTGCGCGAGACTCAGCCGGTTTGCCTTTAGCAGTGCAAGTGGTCACTTTACCCCTAAGAGAGGAGAAGTGCTTGGCGGTCATGAAGCAGGTCGAAAATGTGTGGATTGAATAAGCATTTGTTTGTACGCTCGTTCGGTGATACTTTTATAGGCTTGTTTTACTATTTATACTGTTTTTGTTTTTGCACTGCAGTGCAAATTCGGTTGCCTGGTTTGTTATTTCTAATAAATAATGCGTATTTTATTGCTGGTACAATCTGAACTGTGGATAGTGCAAGAGCTCCGTTTGAAAACTGCATGGAAAATTAACATCGCCCTCCACGGCCGCCCTACACTCTTATGCAGCAAGCACATCTGTTATATGAACTGGCCTTACTGCGATGTCAGATCATTCCTTGGTCACCATACTGAACCGCTAAAGCTAAGATCAACACAGGGTTTGTAATGAGAACGACTAAAATGGAGTATCACGAAGACGTGCTTAGTGATTCAACCTTCTTGTTTTCGGTTATACTGTTCTGCACGCAGTCACCATCTTCACCTGAAATTTCGTGCATTAGTAGGGCACTTATGGTGTTATTTTTTTCGCTGAGTTACAAAAACTCCAGTGTTTTAGAGTAAAATCTTATAATGGGTTCTAATATTTAGTTTTGCCAAGCATGCTTATAATCTGTGCTTTGGATAACGCGTTTTCACTAAAAAGTGTTCACAAATTAGGATCCTTGTTTAGAACAAGCGATGCAGTCAGAAGGGAAGGCTGCAGAGCAGAGGAAAAGTTGCTTGTTTTTCAAAAGAAGTTTATCATATTTCTCCTGCAAAGATCTGAACTACTTTCGAAGTTTTTTTTTGTTGGGTTTTCATCTTAAGTGAAAATGTATTGTTCACTTTGTTCCAAAACAGTCTGGAAGCCCGCCATCGCTATCAGACTTCTTCAGTAATCTTACTACTGTTAAGAAAAATTTGAACACGTATCCAGTTTTTTACGCTAATCTATCATTACCAGAAAAGTAGGTGCACGTGGGTGTTTTTTTTTCCTACATTACCCTGATCGCTTGAGCTTACCGGTGTAGCTACAGTACTCATAGTAGTATATAGCGAGTAGCGCAAATATAAGCATGACAACGAGCATAGCAGCGGCATATGCAAATGACTCAATGGCCATGTCACTGAACGGACTCAACAAGGCAATAACAACAATGATTGAGTCTCCGATCGATGATGTCAAGAGCCACAGCGCCTGTACGACTGATTTCATGGATGGTGCCGCCTGCAAAACATTTCTATACGGCGAGTGAGAATTGCGAGTTGCAACTGATCCGATGAACTGCGTTGTGTATTTCGTCAGCTGCAGTTCTAAGGAAGAGACAGTGTAATGCGCATGCTGTCGCTGTGAGGGGACAAACTTCAACATCGTTCAGTGCGGTGTCATATAAGTAGCTTTTTCCCGATGCTTCAAGATTTATATTTCATGATGAACTATCCCCTTTTTATGCGTTTTTGCCGTGCAGCGTGCTGCAACAGGTAGAAAAAACGCATATTGCGACGACCCTGTCAGTGTGTGTGTTATGTGTATGTGTGTGTGTCCGCGTGTGTATGTATGTGTGTGTGTGTGTGTGTGCGTGTGTGTGTGTGTGTTCGTCTGTCCGAGTATTTCAACTCGCCAACCACGCAAGCTTTGAAATTGGAATTTTGCCAGTGTGTTCCTCAGCCAAGTGCTACCTCAGAACCGCGATATCAACTCTCACGCACATCTGTGCCCCGCGTACGAGCACGTCAAAGTTTTGGCGCGAAAATTGCTAACTCGGGAACGAGGGGAGCTGGAAAGCTGAAACCTTGGGCGAATGTTCCCTACCCGTCTACGACAAAAAGATTTCAAGTTCAGCTGCTTAGGTATAATTGGGGCTTACGTACAGGCACGTGAAGATTATGGCGGGAAAATTCATAACTCGAAGATGAGAAAAGTTAGAAAGTTGAAACTTTGGGGGAATATTCCCTACTCATGTACGACCAAAAGTTTTCAAACTCAGCTCCTTAAGACTGCTTGGGGCTCATGTACGGGCACGTGAAGATTTTTGGCGTGAAAATTACTAGCCCTGGAACGGGAAAAGCTGGAAAGCTGAAACTTTAAGGGAATGTTCCCTAGTTATGTATGACCAAAAGATTTTAAATTCAGCTCCTTAAAACCATTCGGTACTCACGTACGGGCACGTGAAATTTTTGATGGGAAAAATGTTAACTCGGGAATGTAAAAGCCGAAGGCTTTAGTTTTAAAGGAATGCTCCCTACTCATGTGCAACTGAAAGATTCTAAATTTAACTCTTCTAGTGTGGCCTTTTTTGCGGACCAGCAACTTTCCATTTGTCGGGTCACTGAAGTCGACATTTACAACTGATATACCACATAGTTGCGCAATTAACTTCCCGCACTTCGAGAGCCAGTATGTCACAGGGTTAGCTACTGTGATTCCTTGCGATCTTGTTACAGCACGAAAAGTGCAAAAACGCATAATCCCACCGGCCAGTCTGGTGCGTTCCAGCCTAGGTTCTTCCTTTATTTCACGAGGATTAACCTTTGGAAAACTAGGTCCCATTGGAGTGAAACATTATATAACCTTTGGTCATATCCTTATATAAAGAATGCCCTTTCATCATCTTGACACATTTATACCTATTGCCAACTCTACCAAGAAGGAAAATGTGGTAAGTTCCTGGAGAGCTACGACCCTCCCAAAACCTACCACATTTTCCTTCTTCCTTTCTTTTTATCGTTGCGTATTCTAGTGTTTTATTCTACCTGTATTATGACGATAGTCTAATAATATGCTATGAGAATACACTAGTCTTAAGCATAAATAGAGAATGCGATCGTGGTAACGGCAGAAATAGGGGTGTCATGAATGGTTTGGGAAGATTTAGAATGAAATGCTTCGGCTATTTTACGTACCTGTGAGTAAGCAAATTCAATACCGGTGATCGAGAAAAGTATTTCGCCGATAGTGATTATAACGTACTGAGGGATTTGCCAGAGAATGCTCACTTTATTGCTGGGTGTCACTTGAAATATGTGCTTCTCCGCCTGGAATTCAATAAGAATCCATTAATTTTATGGTACTTTATCGCAGGCATATGTTCATTTCCAGGAATATAACGAGCAGTTGAACTTTAAGCATGTCGGCTCCTGTTAACACCAACAAGAAGACTGCTCCTTCGTCCTTTGTACCAATTGTAACACCAGTGGAGTTCACGCTGATCTCATATTTACTTAACGTGTTTCGTCGATATTCTTTAGACTCGAGGAGTTGCACATAGTATAGTTCCCATCTGCAACAGCAATGGAAGATAAGGACTTTTGAAGCTAATCCGAGTTCAAGTATGGTGTTCTGAAACAATTACCATGCTCTGAACAATGCCATTATCAGGAAGGGGAGTACATATTGCTTCGCTTAGTATGAAGTGAGGTTTTGTTTTGTTCCCTTAGTATGAGGTGAACAAAACAAAACCGCAGTGCATAAAATCTACAGCTGCTAGACTGCACAAGAGATATAGAACATAGGCTTAATAAACA